CTAACCCTAACACTCAATAACCTTTCATTTGTCGACGGTCAAATTAGAGATTATGTAAACAATTAAGACTATCTCCAACCCATTACACCAAATTGGTGTGATTTTTTATGCAAAACATTAATGCATCTCCAATCCATTGCACAAAATATTACATCAAAAAGAATATTCTTTAAAATATTCTCTTTCTTTTTATTTTATTGTAATGATTAACAATTAATCTATTTCACTCGTTATTCTTGTATATATTAATTAAATATTGAGAATGATATATTTATTAAATAATAATTACTTTAAAAATTATACTAATTTAATAAAATTAAACATTTATTTAATTAAATAAATACTTTATTTAATATAGAAAAACATTACATCTAATATAAAATGATACCAAAAAAAAAAAAAAAACAACAACAACTCTAGTTTTTTCCAATATTTTGATGATCTTACAAGATCTAGAACTAATCTATCGGAATACTAATTTGTTATTTTAGTTTATATTGTATTTTATTTTAATTTTAGTGTTTTTAAATTAGTATTAATTTTTATTTTAAGTTATTGTAGTTAATATTTATATTGAATAAAGTTTTATTTTTAATTTTTTATTATTTTTTGAATAATAATCAAATTAACTTAAATCTAAATAACGAAATTTAAATAATTAAAAAAAAATTACTGTATAAATAGTGCCACGCTAATTTGAGGCGGATAAATAATACTGCACTGGTGTGTAGTGTTCATCTCCACCAAATTGGTGCTGAAATGGCACTTCAATAGAGCAGCAATTTCACGCTATTTTGGTGTTTTTCACACCAAAATAGCGTGGGTCGGGACTCGGAGATGCCTTTAAGGCGGTAACCTAGTCTCAGTCGAACCGGTTAAACCGACCGGTCCGGTCCGGTATTACTGATTAAAGTTGCTTTGGGAACGGCAAAAGAATAAAAGAATACTTGCTGCAGCTTTTTCGAGGGATAAAAAAACGAAATGGCAAATCAAAATCGTAAACAGGCCCAAAACACTAACTCTTCCCTCCACTTTGTTCCCCCCAGTCCGTCGACATCACCACTCTCGCAGCGATGGAAGGCCTACGACGTTACCAAAACGACACCATTCATCTTGACCGTAACCCACCTGCTTCTTCTTCCACCATCCCTCCCACTAATTTATCGATCGAAGAATCCATAGATCAAAATCCAACGCCTCATATCTGAACACCCTGTCATCATCTTCAGTCAATCTTCCTGCTGCATGTGCCACGTCACGAGAAAACTACTCCTCACCATCGGATTTCACCCCCCCGTCATCGAACTCGGTGGACATGAGATCTCTGCTCTTCCTCCCACCTCCTCTCATGATAAAGATGACTCTCTTCGTAATCCTGCAGCGCCTGCCGTTTTCATTGGCGGCACCTGCGTTGGTGGCCTTGAATCTCTCTTTGCCCTCCATCTCAGTGGCCACCTCGTGCCTGAGCTCGTTGAAGTTGGCGCTCTTTGGGTTTAATGATTATCTTTGTTTTTGGGTTTAATGGTCAAATACTGAAAAGAAGTTGAAGTTGTAGAAGAAATCTAAAAGTGATGTGGTTTGAGAATTTTAGGTTGTAGAGTAAGCAGTTGTCGGTGTTGTTTTTATGGGTTTTTTGCATCTCATTATTTTTTATGTTGGAGAAAAGTATCATAAATTATAGCTTGTTTTCTTTGAGCTTGACTCATTCGACAATATATATAGGTAGAACGCATTTGGTGTCATTTTTGTATGTTGGTGCAGGAATACACATTCTAAAACAGCTTAAATCTTAACTAGAGTTTTTAGTTTATAATTTAGGTCCGCACTTCCAAATTTTTATATGTTGTTCTTTTCAGATACATGTTTTGTATTGTGTAATTATTATTCTTTTTTAATTATTATTGAATTAATTTTAGATGCCTAAATGTGACATGTTTGACTGTAAATTAATTTAAATTGTTCCTGCTGCTGAGAGTGGATTCATCTAAATGTGATTGAAGCACAGTAGATATGGGTTCATATAAACATGTACAGTTTTTTCTTTTGTTAATCTTAATGGGTGCAAGAAACTGTAATAGGATTTTAGCTATTTGGATAAAAATCTTGAAGACAATGCGTCTGGGGAAACGGGAGTCCTATATGGAAGGGCAAGAAACTGGAATCTATGGTTTCGGTCGAGATCCAAACAGGTCATTGATCATGAAGATGCTGAACAGGTACATCATTCAACCTAAAATGACAAAATATGCTATAATCAATGCTGATAATATGATAAAATAAATTCTATGTTGTGCATTTACAGTTCATTATTAACTTCAAGTACATGTTGGTTTTTGAATTAATCCGTGAATTTTTGTTTTATTTTCAGCGCGCTCTATCTAGAGAGTTTTAAAGGTGAAAAATTTATAGTTGTGGGAAAGTGGATTAGTAACCTTTTTAGTGAATTTATGACCTATGAGTACTTTAGTAATAGCATTTTCTGATTTTAAAAAATTTTGACTCTGTTTACTACTGCTTAATTAGTAATGTTTAAGATAACATTTTGCAGTCTTTAATGGAAGAAATTTTGACCAAAATTTTGTCGTTTAACTTAAATAGTTCTAGTGAATGGCGATTCAAATTTAGAAAATGGTGGACTTCAGCATCTGATAATTTTCAATTACTGTAATTAAAGCTTACCTGTACTCTTGTCTTTTACCCTGCAGGGGAAGTTGCAGAGTGCAGTTCCATTAGGTGATGAGCCACTACTAAAAGAGCAGACAATTTGCTTCTTTGACAGTTTTCTACATAAACTTATGTTTTTTACATCACAAGGATATTCATTTCTACTCGTGAAATGTTCGCAGATTTATCTGTGTCTGAAGATGTGTCAATATGGTCTAAACTGTGGCGTGTTGTTAAAGGCTATCATGTAAAGAAACTAGAACTTTTATCTTCTCTTCCTCTTTAATTTACTACACTTACAAAATTGGGATGCAAAGTTTTACACCGTTTATTATCCATTAAAAAATTAAAAATCTTTTTATTTCAATTATTTGAGGTTGTGTATCTTATATATGTGCTTTATTGTCTAAATAACAGGGGTTTTGTTTAGGTGGTCAACACCAACGTTCGTTTGCCATAACATTTTTTGTCTTGGAGGCAATATCATATTTACAGTATCTATTAACTGGAGACTTCTCCTTGTATTTCCTTCTTTTTCTTGAGATCTTGTCATTGATTGGCATTATTATGAATTCAATTGCTCATACCATCAGCTTCATTAACCGACATAGTTATCTTTTGGAGATGTTCTTCTCTTTTTTTCAGTTTCTTGTTACACGGTCATACTTTCTTTTGGTACTTAAGGACGAGAGCTTAAATGTTGTTGCATCGGTTTTCCCTCTAGTCTATTCTACCATATTAGTTGTTTGCTTCGGTTTCAAAAAGGAGCCATCCCAGGATTATCATAAGCCTAGTGATCCAGATGACCTGCGTGTGCAAATTGGTGAGGACCATCGTGAAAGTTTTGTGAGTGATTTAGGCAGATCTCCTGATGACCTTGCCTCCCGTGTGTCAGAAATGGATCGCTATATTCTCCGGCATGATCAACCACAAGATATCCAGGTATATGAATACATCCTCATGCAAACTTTCTTTCATGACTAAAGCACAATCAGTGTAGGGCTTTAAATATAATAGACGACTTGCCTGGAGAGTGACCTATATCCTTGTCTAGATAAATTTTCTAATAATTTATGAGAAAACATTTTTCATTTGCCTTGATTACTAAATACGCATGATAATTGATGTTTTGTTTTGATATTGAGCTTTAACAGTTCCACTCAAGTGAAATATAAATTTATTTTTTATGCATTAATGTGTGATTCAAACGTTAAAGCCTTTTGTTATAATTATCATTTGACCTAAAAGGTAAGCTTTTAGGTCAAACGGTAATGTATTATAGTGAGAACGTACATATAGTAGAAAATTTACTATTATTATAGCATTCGATTTGGGATATCAAAACAAGGAGCTTACTTATTCTTCTTTTGTCTTTACCTTGCAGGAGGGGGATGAAGATGAGGTTTGTTGTTGGAGTAGTTAGACTAGAAAGTGACGAAAATTTACAATTATTATAGCATTCGATTTGGGATATCAAAACAAGGAGCTTACTTATTCTTTTTTTTGTCTTTACTTTGCAGGGGGAGGATGAAGATGAGGTTTGTTGTTTGAATACTTAAACTAGAAAGTGTAATTATTATGCTTTTTTCCAATGATTATTGAATTAATTTTATATGCCTAAATGTGACATGTTTGACTGTAAATTAATTTAAATTGTTCCTGCTGCTGAGAGTGGATTCACCTATGTTCTGAGCTATGTTTCCCCTGTCTGTGATTAAAGCACAGTAGATATGGATTCATATAAATATGGACAATGGACAATTTCTTCTTTTGTTAATCTTAATGGGTGCAAGAAACTGTAATAGGATTTAAGGGGGAGCTGTTCGGATAAAAATCTTGAAGAGAATGCGTCTGGGGAAACGAGAGTCCTGTATGGAAGGGCAAAAAACCAGAATCTAAGGTTTCGGTCGAGATCCAAACAGGTCATTGATCATGAAGATGCTGAACTGGTACATCAGTCAACCTAAAATGACGAAATATGCTATAATCAACACTAATAATCTGATAAAAAATTCTATGTTGTGCATTTACAGTAACTTTTCCAGTGAATTTATGACCTATGAGTACTTTAGTAATAGCATTTTCTGATTTTAAAAGAAGATTTGACTCTGTTTACTACTGCTTAATCAGTGATGTTTAAGATAACATTTTGCAGTCTTTAATGGAAGAAAATTTTGTCGTTTAACTTAAATAGTATTAGTGAGTGGCGATTCAAATTTTGAAAATGGTGGACTTCAGCATCTGATAAATTACAATTATTGTAATAAAAGCTTACCTTTACTCGTCTTTTACCCTGCAGGAAAAGTTGCAGAGTGCAGTTCCATTAGGTGATGAGCCACTACTAAAAGAACAGACAATTTGCTTCTTTGACAGTTTTCTACATAAACATATGTTTGTTACATCATAAGGATATTCATTTCTACTCGTGAAATGTTTGCAGATTTATCTGTGTCTGAAGATGTGTCAATATGGTCTACACTGTGGCGTGTTGTTAAAGGCTATCTTGTACAGAAACTGGACCTTTTATCTTCTCTTCCTCTTTAATTTACTATACTTACAAATTGGGATACAAAGTTTTACACCTTGTATTACCCTTTAAAAATTTAAAAGACCTTTTTATTCAATTATCTGAGGATGTGTGTCATATATATATGCTTTATTTTCTTAATTACAGGGGTTTTGTTTAGGTGGTCAACACCTTCATTCGTTCTTCATAGGATTTGCTGTCTTCGAGGCAATATCATGTTTATACTACCTATTAATTGGAGATGGGTTATTGAACCTATTAACTGGAGACTTGGACTCATATTTATTTCTTTTTGCTCAGTTCATGACATTGATTGGCATGATTAAGACATCAAAGGCTTTTACCATGAGCTCCATTAACCGACGTAGTGATCTTCTGGAGATGTACCTCTTCCTTTTTGTTCATCTCCTTGTTTTATACTCATGTCTTTTTTTGGTACCTGAGAACAAGGAGTTAATTATTGAAGCATCGGTTCTCCGAATAGTCTGCTATACCACATTAGTTGTTTTGCTCAGTTTCAAAAAGGAGCCATCCAGGGAGCCTAGTGAGCCAAATGACCTGCGTGTGCAAATTGATGAGGACCATCATGAATGTTTTCAGAGTGATTTCCGCAGATCAACTGATGACCTTGCCTCCCGTGTGTCAAAAATGATTCGTCATATTCTCCGGCATGATCAACCACAAGATATCCAGGTATATAAATTCATCCTCTTGCAAACTTTCTTTCATGACTAAAGCGCAATCAGTGTAGGGCTTCAAATATAATAACCAACTTGCCTGGAGAGTGACCTATATTTTTTTCTAGATAAATTCTCTAATAATTTAGGAGAAAACGTTTTTGATTTGCCTTGATTACTAAATACGCATGATAACAGTTCCACTCAAGTGAAATGTAAATTTATTTTTTATGCATTAATGTATGATTCGAACTTTATAAAACCTTTTTTTATGTTTAATTATCAATTGACCTGAAGGGTAAGCTTTTAGGTCAAACAGTAATGTAATATAGTGAGAATGTACGTATAGTAGAAAATTTACTATTATTATAGCATTCGATTTGGGATATCAAAACAAGGAGCTCACTTATTCTTCTTTTGTCTTTATCTTGCAGGGGGACGATGAAGATAACAAGCACTCACTTGTGTTATATCTCTACCATAAATATAAGAAATTGGCTCTTGCAATATTATTTTTTATTTTAGAGATAATATCATCTGTTTTAGAGTTGATATCATCTGTATTGGATATCACTGGGAAAGGCAAGCTTGTTTTCATTGGGGCTGCATTGGTCTTGGCAGTGTTTGTCTTTTTCGCAACATTATTGGTTTATTGGAAGGGAAGATCCATCAGATTACCAGATGAGAAACCAATTTTGAACTTGGGTGGTCCATTTGCAATTGTCATTCCTTATTATCTCTTTTTCCTCTTTGTTATTGATCTTCTATCTGGGAGCGCCATGAAATGTCTATATCTTTAGTTCTAGGGAGCCATTTGGTCTTTTTTTTCATTGAAACTAACCAATGCAGGTTTTGTAATGAGAATTTAGAAAGCTAGAAAAAGAGAGGCTAAATTTTCTTAACGTTTTCTTAGCAACAAACGATAAGTCACTGTAGACTCAGACTAACAAATGGGTTTTTTTTTCGTGATGGATTTGATCATTTTGATTTTACTGGCTTTCATCTGAATACTGCAGTGAATTCTGCATGGCTGCCAGGAAAATATGTTCTACCGAAAAGAAGTCCGTAAAGGTTATACAGGAGATGGGAATCTATGCCAAGAACCGCGAGAGAGGATCGGAAAGAGCTTTATTTACATAGGAGCTGTTGAACGTGTGTCTCAAGATGCTGCAGAGGTTTGCTGACTTGGAAGTGCTGATAGATTGTGAGGTGTTGTTCGTACTGGTGGAATGAGTCAGTTTCTGAAGTTGTTAAACTAGTGGTTGCTAGAATTTAGCATTAAGCTTATTAACTGCTATTAGTGTATAATGCTTGTAACTGCTGTTCTTTTATATTCCTGCAGCCACTTTTTTAGTATAAATTGCACTTTCATTCAATGAAATTTGTAATTTGTGTTGGAGTTCCATACCAACTAAGCACGCTCAAGTCTATTGGGTTATAAGAGGGAGTAATCCTCCCATTCAATAAGGCCTTATGTGTGAGAAGTCAGACCCACCTCAAATCCTATCATGGTATCAGAGTCCAGGTTCAGTTGAGGAGTTAGAGTCAGCAACTACCTCCATCAACAGGCATGACCAACATATGGGCTTACTATGAGGGGAGTGTTGAGTCCATACCGACTAGGCACGCTTAAGCCTATTGGGTATAAGAGGGGTAATCCTCCTATTAACAAGGTCTTATTGGTGAGGAGTCAGACCCACTAGAATTCTATCATATTTGCAGTCTATTTTCTTCTCTGTTTTTGCTATCATTATGTTTTGCTCTTTGTTAAACAACAACAGTAGCAGATATTTCAAATATTCTAACAAGTGCTTTAGAGCGCCTGCTTTGCGACGGAAATTATTTCAAGTCTTCTTCGAGACTGCGTTGTGGCATTGTCTGGCCAAGCAGCTATGAGATATTTATGTTGTGATTTGATTTACGTCTAGTATGTTGTCCTTCCGACGCCATGTTTTAGTTTCGCGACGATGGGATAATGCAACGACGTGCTGAATTTTTTTCTCTTGTTGTGTAACATTTTTGCAATGCATTTCGTTGATTCCCCAGCCTTCCCTTGCGCCGGCAGACAGCTACTGATGTTTCAGAAAGACTGGCAGTCCAACAGCGCTTGTGGACATTGATGTTCTAAGAAGATATCTTTAGTATAGCCGGAAATGGCCATATCGGCGCACGGCGACCATTTTTTGCCTGTCGTTCATCGTCTGGTGGCGGCGGCAATTGCCGTGGCCGGTGGGTGGGGGTGGTGCTTGGGTGAGCTGTAATTTATTTTGAATTTAAGGGTAATTGTCAAAAAAGTTAATTATGGGTAAAATAGTAAAAGTCAATTCATGTAAATAAATTAAAAATAAAGATATTTGCTTAAAATTTTATTATAAAATGATATAATTGTAAAAAAAAAATTCTCTATTATCTAGAATATCTAAGAAAATGGTAATAATCATATTACCTACAATATTACTGATAGTAATTACTATTGTATCAGAATCTTATATTACTTGACAATTAAACGGGTAATCAATAATATAAGATAACATAATTACAGTAATCTCACATTATCCCCAACCCATCGCCCCAAAGGGTATGAATTTGATCGAACACAATAAAAACAAGCTGACACTTGTTGTAGTGATAATCATCTTGGAAGCAATCTCAATTGTATTGGAGTCTAGAATTATTGACACAAGCAAGTTGAAGATCATCATTGTTTCATTTAGATTATTACAAACTGGTTTTGCCATTAACACATCCAGATCACAAACTCTCAGCCGAATTCAAATTGAAAATTTGTTCTCTCTCAAATCCAGCTCATGGTAAATTCATTCATTCACAATTAAAGGCCCCACACCTCTATTTTGCTGCTATTTTTTCTCTAGTCCACTGTATTTTTTATATTGTTCACCTTTGATGAAATTTTCTAGATTAGCGGCAGTACAGGGGCGGACCCAGCCTTTCGAGGGTAGGCTACCCTCACATTAAAAAAAAAAAAAAAAAATTTGTTTATATAGCCTCATAAAAAAATACAATTTATATATATTATATATATAGGTCTATTTTTGGATTTTAAAAAAATAGAAATATTATACATATATCCAGACTCATAAAAAACTTGTTATTAATATTATATATCTCACACTTATATCATATTAAAATTAAAACTCTCTCCACTATTTTCTATGCTCATCTGTTTTTTTATGATTTATCTCTAAATTCTTTATTCTCTCATTTCTCTTTCACTTTCTTTATGTTATTTGTTCTTAAAACTTTTGAAGACTGAAATTGTTGAAGCTTTCACTCATAAATGTGCCATAATTAGCTTAGTTTATTTGGGTTGAATCATGAATATTTTTTTTTGAGGTTTTTTATTCATTGATGGAAAAAAGCATGGATCTTGTGAGTTTGTTTTGTGTTTAAGAATGTTCTGCTTTCCCAAATTAAACCTTAACTGTATTTTACTGAACGTATTCTTCACTCTTTACCCCCTACTTTCTTACATTTTAAATGTTTACGTTTAGCTGCTCAAAATCATTAAGAAGTTTGAGTTATTATCTATGTTTATCTAAGAAATTTCTTTTTTTTTTATTAATTCATATTAAAAGTCAAGACCACGTTGACTTAATTTAAGTTTTGGTTTAATTCAGTTTAGGTTAGGCTTAATCAAAATTATGAAAATTTATATTTAATCTTTGGAAGCCAAAAAGAAAAAAAATTAAAAAAAAAAATGAAAATAAGAAATTTGTGTAGAATATTTTTGATGATTATGTTTGTTATAAACTCTTTCAATTAATGAATTAAATAGATCGTTATTCTCGTGATCTTTCGCTCCCTTTAATGAAAAGGTTTTTTTAACATAAAAATGTTACTGTGTTTCCTCGTTACTATTTGCGCTGCTGCTTTATTTTCAGAAAAGACTAACTGTAAAGCAAGTCATGGTCAATTGTTTTGCTCCAATAAATTATAAGGAAAATAAGGATTATGCTCGAATTTTCCCTGTACTTTCCGCATATAGCTCAATCAAACGTACTATGCAGAAGCCAGGGCATCTTCTTTCTGCTGGAAAATTTTCTATAAGCCAACAAAACAAAATAAACAAACCACGAGATTAAAGATCATTACTTTGCTCCACGAAGAAATTTATGAGCTTTTCAGGTGAAAGCAAACCAGAGTTTTCTTCTGTTTGGTTGCTGAGAAAAAACAGTACTTCTTCGAAGAAATTAACGAAACTTTGTATTTATTAAGAGGAGAAAAATTCTGAAACAAAATCCGGTGTAAACGTACGGTGGCGGTGAAAGGGCGGTTTTGACACGTGGCGACGCGTTATCAGTGGATTTGCGCGACATCAACGCTGATTAGTTGACGACATTACGTAATTAAAGAAATAAAATAAACAAAAGCAAGTCATGGTCAATTGTTTTTTCTATTATTCTGAGAATTTTTTTGAACTTTCCATATAAATAAAACAAAATCAACCAAAGCTATTTTTTTGATGCGAGAGCTCAGGCATCTTTTTTCTTGCTTCCTTGAACTTTCCATAAATCAAAAGTTTATTATGCAAGACATTTTTCTGGAGAGCTGAGAATCCGAGACAGGGGCAGAGAAGGGATTCAGAATATCCAGCTTGTCGAAGGAAACACCTGTAATTTGCAGACAAATCTTACCGACCAGGTTCCAGGAGGTACATGTCCATTACTATTTTATTTTTATCTTTCTATGTAGACTTCTTAGTATTTGAGATTTGCTAATAACAGTCACGTTTAACTGATCATATATATATATATATATATTATATATGGTTGGATCTATTTACGTTAACATTTTATTTTACAATAATATTATTGTAGAAGTATTAATTAACGTGTAATGCTATACTTCAATTGAGTGCATAACTGAGTCATCAAAACAGATAAAAAATAAGGATAAAATAGTTATTTAACTAAATTTTATCAATTTTTGTCCGTTTATATAACTCAGCCGTCAGTTGTAACAAAACTATTATTGTTAATTATATATGCGGCGCTAACTCCAGTCCAGTTTACCCTCAAACCTGGTTTGCAATTGGCCCAGATTGGGCCGCGTTGGACCAATAGAATAGTAACGAATCGCAGGTTCAATTGGAAACTCCTCTTTGATTATGGTCGATTCTGATGCCAAACACCCACTTGACACCACCATCGACATCACCTTCATCTTCACATCAAAACCCCCCACATCTCGAATCCCATTGGCTACCTATCGTTGTAGTTGCCACTGTCTCCTTAGCGGTTTCCTGCCAAGATCATAGGGGTATTTTTGCTGGATTTAAAACCTGTGGGACTTACATGTAATTTATCAGAGATTTCTGTTAAGTTTTAAACTTGCTAAATCACCGGAAAATTAAAACCGGCCCCTCACCAGGTCAACGGGCAATCTAGTTTCTAAATATTGTATTGTATTAGTCCAATAACATATGAAAAAAAAAAAAAAATCACGACTTCATTAAGTGTACAAAGAATGTTAGAGTTTTACAACAAATATTTTTGTGTAATAATTTTGATCTCTAATATTAGGGTTGTGAATGGTTAATCGAACACAAAAAAGAAGCGTTTGAATCTTGATCACCCTCTTGGAAATTGAAGTCAAAGCAAGTCAGGGTCAATTGATTTATTTAATTATGCTGGCAACTTTCCATAATCAATTAAAAGCTTATTATGCAAGCTTGAGCATCTTTC